CTGTATGATTCTGTTTAGGCCAAGCAAAAATAATGTGTAGAGGTAGAAACTAGAGCTCCAGTTGCAGGATGTGAGGTAGAGGAAAGAACGGTCTACACTAATAGAGTCACTATAGTCATGGTTCCAGGAATGCATAAAGTTGTGAGGTCATTGTGTTGTTAAGTACATTTGGTTTAAGAAGAAAACTACAGAAAGGTGAGGTGTCTTGTGGAATTTCTTGCTAATTTTCTCTGTGTTCTTGAAGAAGGTACCTAATCTTTCTTCATCTATTTCATGTAGAGAAAATAGTCATATGCAAGTGCTGGGTGTGGGGTTATCCATGACTCTTCTGGCAAGAGCACGTTAACCAATGTATGCTGATATATTGGACTGTGCCTGCATGTATTCCTTTAAGGTTGTGGAACATTCACTATGTTACTTCCTGTCTCTGCACATCAGTAAGATGAAGGGTTTAGAGTAGGGCAGAGGCAGAGAACTGGAAGCTCAGGGTCTGTAGACTGTTTAGCTTCAATAGTGTTGGGTTGTTCAACATTAATATAAAATGTGACTTATTGCTGTGTTTAAATCTAGAGTTTCCAAATAAAATTTGGGTTTCCATTTTATTTTTTTCCCTCTTCACATCTCTCTCCTGTCTATCTGGGGGAGGGGTATGTAGGGGCCGGAGGACAACTTGTAGGAATCAGTTTTCTCCTTCCTCTTTGTAGATAGCAGAAGTTGAACTCATTTGACCAGGCTTGGCTGCAGGTGCCCTTATTGGTTGAGCCATCTCTCTGGCCCTTTATCTTACCTTTAGAAATGAACATTGCTGATTGGAGCTAGGGGTTGAGGGTAGTTCAGTTGGTAAAGTGTTTGCTGTATAAACATGAAGATCTGAGTTAAGTCCCCAGCTCCCACAGAAAAATTTGGGCATGGTAGGGCATGCTTGTAATCCCAGCACTAGGGAAGCAAAGATTTTTGGAGCCCCATGCCAGACTTAGCCTATTGGCAAACTCCAGACCAGTGAGAGACCCTGTCTCACAAAGCAAGGTAGGCAGTTCCGTGGAACTACATCCAGGATTGATTTCTGGTTTCCACACACACACATACTCACCTGCACACATGTGCACCCTCCATAAACAAGGAGATGCAGATACACACACACAGGCACAGATACACACACACACACACACACACACACACACACACACACAGAGTAGATATTACTGATAAAACCAGTTCCATATTTCTATAGGAAAACAGTTATCTGCATGTGTGTGGTAGCTGTGCCTTCACAGCCATTAATACTCAGTTTCCAATAGTCTCTATATACTTTGTTACCTTTTCTGTTCATGTAGTAATAATTGAGAGAAGCTAATTTATTATTGAATTCTCACTATGTGTTAAGCCTTTTTCTAATGTGTGATGATCCAGGGGTCAACCACAGGGATGCAGTACTAACTCACAGGGAATTGCAAATAGTAATTTGTGTTCCCATGAAAAATTAAAATCCAAAGCTGGGTATGATATATCACATATATAATCCTCAAATGCAGGAGCTGAGGCAGGAGGATTCCTATGAGTTTGAAGCCTGCAGAGTGAGTTCTGGGTCAGCCTAGATGAGAATGAATGGTCTGCCTCAGCAAAACAAGTAATTAAAGACAAGAAAGGTACAGTATTGAGAGGTATGACAGAAGTCTATTATATGATGTATGAGTGAGTCATAGTGAAATTCATTGAAAAAACAAGTTAGAAAGAACAGAGTGCCATATATTTTAGGGAGAGCAAAAGAAAATAGATTTCTTTTTGTAAATTAAAAAAAAAAGACTACATTCTTAAGAGGCCAGTTGTGGCTGTATGAAAATTACCCTGACTACCTCATCTGCTTTTCTTCACAGATAGAGCCGCCCCCCCTTCCCTTTGTGAACTGTAAATGACAATAAGCTGATCCCAGCACAGGCCACATGGATTTTCTTACCTCTGTGTAGACCATTCTCAGTTCAGCTTTAGAGACCGAGACTTGTTCCCCTGATCCACGAAATGGTCTGTGCTGGTGCACTGCCGTCAGTGCTCTTGCTTCTTCACCTAGAAAGACATGCAAGGGCCCGTGCTGGAGAGCCTCCCTTCTTCCTCTCACCTAACAGTTTACATCGCCATTTGGTCCACTGTGAACTGGTAGCGGTTGACATCTTTAGGATGACGAACCTGACTAGGTTTCAATTTTGATCTCATGGTTAAAGCCTTCCCACTCACAGATAGGCCCTTTTATGGGCAAAGATGCTGAGTAATGTGGTTCTGACTATCCTGGGTGTATAGTAATCCGTTTTGCTTTGCTTTAAGCTTTAACATAATTGTAGGCCTCACAAATTTGTATTGACTTGCTGAGTTGTTTTCAGCCCCGGCTGGAGGTCGTCTTTTTGCACCACTGCTTCCATCTGGTGGCCATTATCTTAAATTGCAGCAGCATGACCTGCTTCAAAAAAGGAGTGACTTGTCCTTCAGTGATGCTAGGTATCACACATTAAAATGCCTTTAAAATACGTCACATTGAAATTCTCAGGAAGAGGAACATTTGTCAACCATCAACTCTTCAGAAAAGAACTGTTTATGAGTCAATGTGTATGTTTGCAAGTCATTTTTTTTTTAACTTTGGATCAAGGGCTGTCATTTCTAATCTTTGGCTGTTCGTGAAATGAAAGGTTACTTAACTTATTTCCAGTGAAGGAAATGCCCATTTTCTTATTTAATTCAGCAGAGCCATCAGCTTTTGCCTTGTTATATAAAGAGGTATTATGTTTTTGGCCACGCTAGGTGAAGTGGAAGGAACTAGTTTTGGACAGTCAGGAGTATGACACCACTCCTGGTTCTGCCCACAGCAGGCTCTAGGACTCCTAAAACGTCTCTTGACTTCTTTACCTATAAAGCAGATTCCTTGGGCTTCATGCTTTTTATGCTGATCCTATGCCCAGGCTATAGCTAAAAGAAATTATAAAATATTCAAAATATCTGACAAAATAAATATCTTCTTAGTCTATGTATAAAACAATCATTAATATAAATGGAAAGCTTGACATTTGTGCAGCTACTTTATCCAATTCTAATAAATTGTAAGTTACATCATAGTTTCAATAAATTATTTTTTGGGGGGAAGATAAATGGTGCTACAGTATGTTTGTGTACTATTAGACAAGATCTGATACATATTTCTTGCATTTAATTTTCATTGCCGCTCTTAAAAATTATATATTCTAAAAATACGCATCTTGGAATTTTGGAATTGTAGGCTGGGTATGATGATACACATTTAATAATCCTGTCACTTACCAGAGCAGAGACAGGAGAATCAGTTCAAAGCCACATGAGACCCTGTCTCAAAAAACAAAAGTAATTTAGGAAGAAATGGGGAAGGAGAGGAAGAGAGAGACAAGTTAAAATTTTCATGCTGGGTGTTCTTTTTAATAAAAGTAAGTATTCAGTTGGGCATGATGGTGCTTGCCTTTGATCCTAGAATTTGGGAAGCAGAACCAGGTGTATCTCTGTGAGTTTAAGGCTAGCCTGGTCTATAAATCAAGTTCCAGGACATCTAGGGCTACACAGAGAAACTCTATATTGAAAAACAAACAAAAAAGTAAGTACTTTAAAAAAATCTACATTTAAAATTGATAATGAAATAGTTTAATGTATTGCAAGAAAATAAACTGTATTTTGAATAAAAATGATAGTGGTTGGTATTATAGATTCCACGGGAAGTTTTGGTGCTTATCTAATATTGAAGAATGTGGTGACAGTCAATAGAGAGACCTGAAATCTCTGATAAATTATCATCACAATGTAGGTTTGGAAATGTCTGAGTCCATTAACGTTTTTACAGAATGATGCATCTATTTTCTGAAAATAAGGAATAGTACTTTATGTATAAGGCTTTAGTGGCTGAAGGGAATAGATTCTTACCCAGGTTAGCTTGAATAGTTACTGTAAAGCTAGTAAGTGCTGAAAACACCAGCAGACAGGCACTGAAGTGCCACTGAGCCTCAGGGCAGTTAAAACATTACAGTGAATCCTGAGTCCTGATTCTCAGAGGCCTAAGATCTCTCTATTGGCTGCTTTTTGGTTTGGTTTCTGTCAGCTTTGCAAATGGCTGCTAGCTCAGTACTGTATGACAACCTCAACTCAAGTTCTCATACTGATCAGTTCCCTCTGTGTTTACTTCTATCCAGTTTGTACCAATTCTGTGCAAAGAATAGCTTAGTAATGCTTTTACTACACGGGGTTGATGAATAGGACAGTTGAACTAAGTTATGAAGGTATACAAGGCAGGCAGTTGGGCTTTGTGTTCCAACTGCCGCTTCTTCCAAGACTTTGACCTGTGACTTCTTTGCCACCCTTGTCTATCTGACCCTCAAGGCAGACAGTGCTTTGGGGATTAGGTGTAAGTTAGGAGTTCTAAGATTATGTGGAACTCCTAGAACAAACTAATTTAGCACATTTGAGAATCTCAGTCAAAGTTACATAAATGTCTGTTAATGAATTGTGAGTTGTCTTTGGATAAAGGAAAGTAGGGTGTTGATCAGTGAGTCCTGATGTCCCACTGTAGAGCAGCTTACTCACACTGGGTTTTATATCTCAACAGCACATGTAGCGACAGGTGCAGGAGTCTTCAGGGCCTCCTGTTACACCTGAGTGAGAGGTGGAGCAAGGAGGAAGAGAAGATTCCTGAAATACAGTGACAACTATTTATGTTTGCAAGCACTAAAAACAATACATTTTCTAGCCTCTCTGATAAGAAAGAAAGTACTGGGCTTAGTTTTTAAAAACTCTTGTAGTTTCTTTGGAAGATAGCTGCTGTTCATCCTTGATTCTGACTCTGGCTCTAAGTTCAAGAGTATAAGAATGCTATCAAGGCCAGACCACTTTGAAGACTGGCTGATAGTGGTATCAGTGTCATGAGAGGTGACAGCAGCAGCCTGAGTTCCTGACTGACTTGCAGTTACTCAAAAGAGTTTCTCTCTGTGTTCTTCTCACAGGTGGATTTGCTCTTGTCTTTCTGGTGAGAACAAGCAATGGGGTGAAATGTGCCTTGAAACGTATGTTTGTCAACAATGAACATGACCTCCAGGTGTGCAAGAGGGAAATTCAGATCATGGTAAGACTTTTTGGATTATAACTTCTTCTTCTTTTTCTTTATTTAAACTATATATATATGCATATATATGATATATGTATAATGGTGTATATTTGGTATATATGCATGTGTGTATGTGTGTCTATATATGTAGATATATATATGTGTGTGTATACACACACATATCTTTTTGACTTTTTTGAGACAGGGTTTCTCTGTGTAACTCTGGCTGTCTTGGAACTCACTCTATAAGCCAGGTTGGCTTCAAATTCACAGAGATCCATCTGCTTCTGCCTCCCTAGTGCTGGGATTATAGGTACATGTTACCACTGCCCAACTTAAACCTTACGTATTTTTAAAATAGTGTTTTTATTAATTTCATACAATGTGTTTTGGTCATATTCATTTTCTCACCTCAAGTCTTCCCAGATCCTCCCCCTCACTCTCTATTTACCCAACTTATTGTGTTCTCTCTTAAAAATACAGTAAGCCCAGTTTTGTATTGGCAACTGCTCCTAGTGTGGAGCCTGCCCTGAAGTGTGGTTGATACACCAGGTGTCACACCACTGAAGCCAACTGACTTTTCCTCTTGCAGTAGTAATCAAATCTAATAGCTCCTCCACTAGGGGTGGCTTCATGCCTACCATCTCCATCATGCTGGGTTTTTGTGTGGCTTGAGGCTTTGCAGGTCTTGTGCATAATGTTATAACTGATGTGAGTGCATGTGTGCATCTGCCCTGTTGTGGAAAACACTGCTTCCTTGAAATCTGGCTCTTAATTCTTTCTGCTCCCCCTCCCTGTACCTTAAGAGGAGAGGTGTGATACAGGCATCCCATTGAGGGCTGAGCTCCAAAGTCTCTGATGCTTTGTACACTAACCAATTGTGAGTCTCTATGCTCATTGCCATCTGTTGCAAGAAGCTTTTCTGATGCGTGTTGAGCAATGCATTGATGTGTGAGTTTAGCAACAAATCATTAGGAGTCAGTTTTATTGCTATGTCTGTTTAATAAAATAATAGTACTGCATTTTACCCTCAGGTCATGTATCTACTGTGGCTGTTTCACGACAGGTATTCTATGTTATCTTAGGAAAGTTACTGGGCAGGCCTGCACCCTTTCTTGTGCTGGCAGCAAGCTCTTGTGCAAGGTGGGACCAATAACGAGGGCCTATAGGGCTCTGTTTCTGCTTTGATCATCCTCAAGTGGAGGTTGAGGGGAAAGAAGCTTATTGGGAGAACTGACTAGTTTAACTTGGTAAAGTAGTTTGGGACTTGGGAAAGCATTTATTTAATCTGGAAAGCCAAACTCTCTAGGAAGCTTTTCTCTCTTTCTGCTTCCCTCAGTTACCAGCCCCTTGCTCTGGTTGCCAACTCCTCTGAGCCCTTCTGCATCCTGGGAATATTCCCTGACACAACTTGACACTTCTGACAGTTTTTCCAGCTGAAGTGCTTCCTGTGCTTTGCCTACAGTGTCAATACTTCATAGTGCCTTGTGATTCCCTTTATAGAAGCCCACAAATAGGTAGAACTCACTGTGGCATTAGAAGTCAGAAAATAATTGTTTGTGTTGGGAAATGGGCCAGAAGATGTATTATTCTGAGTTATGGAAGTCTGTTGTTTTGTGTATGGTCACACAGAAATATATAACTGTCAGAACTCAAACACATTAAGATCTGTTTTTATTTTGTAAATTATACCTTAATTTAAAAAACAAAGAAACTTACTAAAGAAAGATGGCTCAGGACTTCAGAGCATGTACTGTTATTCTAGAGGACCCAAGTTCAATTCCCAGCACCCACAATCACAACTAACTCCAGTGCCTCTGACCTCTCAGAGCACCTGCATGCACTTGCACACAGATACACATGATTAAAAATAATGCACATCTTTAAAGAACATACTAAATTGTATAGACTTTATTTTCTATCATTAGTAAAGAGTCTGTATCAGAAATATATACCGATGTGTTTATGATGATATGGTGAAAACAGTAACTGGATTTAAAACAAAGATTGACCGGGGTTTGATAATCAGAGCAAAGTTACAACTTTGAAAGCTTGTTAGTTGCTATCTTTGACATTATACATAATAAAAACCTTTAAATATGTACATTATTGTTTTTGGTATTTCCACGGTTTTGTTTATACTAATTATATTGCTTTACCTGTTAACATTTTAGGCAGTTCAGCCAACACATTGAGAGTTATTTAAAATCAGAAACTCAATAGTTTCTTAACATGCAGAAAACAGTTCAATAAAAGAGTGAAATGCATGTCTGTGTGGTTGCAGAGGTAGATCCAGATGTTCACCTAGAGGTGATGCCTTGGAAAAGAGTAAAATTAAGTTAGGCGTGGCGAGAGTCTAAACTGAAAGTATTAAGAATGACCTAATCCTGTGAAGCCAACCAGCCAACCCCAAGACTCCAGACCACATGGATCTGTCTACAGTGGGCCTAAGATACTCTGCTTGCCCTGTCTCCTACATTTCCTGGATATTTCTCATGTCTCTACCCCTCCTCCTCCTTCAGCTCCCCTTCCATCCCTCCCCCTTGCTTGCTCCATGCTTTCTAAGCTGTCCATATTTCATTTCTTCTGCCCAGAATGCCCTTCCCATTTTTACTTATGTTAGAAAAGCAATCCCATTCTTTCATTTTCTCCCACTCACTCAGAACATGAGGGCTAACTTGGTGCTAGTAGAGAAACCAAGAAGCACAGGCCTGAACATTGACAATAGATCCGATTAGGATTTAGTTGTATAGGATCAGTTTTGGACCAGGAATGCATTAACTATGACAGTTGTTTTTGTTTTTAATTGAATTTGTATTTTTTTCAAAGTTAAGTCAGCCAGCTAACAAAAAAACGTCACACAGTTCCACACAATTCTCCTGTTCCATCTCAGGGTCCTAGAGGTCATTATGGTACTTGCTTCTTTGAATGTACTTCCCAGTCGTGCTAGATCTTGATTTTTACTGCATTTCAGGCATTGTTCCCAAGGGAAATAAGGATTTAGCTCTTTTCATCCTGCAGTACAGCCCGCCTCCAAGTGTTAGCTTTGCTCTTATCCTGAATTCACTGGAATACTAACTAGTCAGTTTGGGCAGTGGGTTGGCTGTGGTTGTTGTGGGAGGGAGCTGCTGCTACTGAATCTGCTGCTGGGCAGCAAGCACTGCCACTTCCCCACACAGCCGTTCTCACCAGGACTTGTGTCTGTTCCTCCCTTGTTCTCAGTGTTCTGTGTGGATTTCAGCAGTGTCACCCTGGACTTCCCTTCATTATGCAAGCTGTGTTTTAACTGTGCAGATGTAGCTGTTTGTCTGCTGTAACTCTCTCAAGAGTTGTCCTGCCTCCCTGACTGGGTGGGCCCCAAGCTAGTGATGGGTTCCTACCTGTTCTTCTCTGGAGCCTGCTTGTTCTTAGAGAATTCCCTAGGCTCCTTCTCTTTGGCCTCACTTCTCTCAGCCTCCCACCCCTCCTTCTGTTTCACCCCTCCTTCTGCGGAGGTGGTCGGTCACCCAACAGCTTCCTCTTATGAATCCATAAGAGGCTTTTGGGGTCAAATCGAAGAAGTTTTTGTTTAGCCTTCAATTCCGAAGACTTTCACCTATTTTGTTCTCTAAAATTTTATAGTTTTTCATGTTACATTTAAAGTCCATGAACCATTATATAAGCTGTGAGACTTTTGTTGACATTCTGCTTTTTGCTTATGGATAACAAATTGTTTTAGCATGCCTTCTGAAAAGGCATTCTCTGCTCTGCTGGTTGTGAAATGTCACTGGAACTGGAGTTGTAGCTAGCTTAGTCGTAGCATGCTTGTCTGTATACAAGGTCCTGAGTTTGTTATCCACTCCACCTGTACTTCTGATGATCCCCACCCATAGAAACTTAAATTGTAGGGCCCATTACTAGAACTTTCTCTGTCTGTCTTCTTATCAACTGTATGCTTATCTCTCCACCAGTATCCTAATAATCTTGTTTCTGTATGTAGATAGTAAATCTTTTTCTCTTTCTTTCTTTCTTTCTTTCTTTCTTTTTTTTTTTTTTTTTTGAGACAGAGTCTTATAGCTTTGGGTTGTTTTAAGCTTTGTAACCAAAGCTAGCATTGAACTTCTGATCCTTCTACCTCTATCCACCCAGTCCTGGTATTATAGGTGTATGCTACCACACCCAAGTATCAAACAAGATTCCCTCATATTTTCCTCAGAATGTTTTAAAATACTCAAATCCACATAGTGTATTAGTTTCTTTTCTCATCAATGTGACAAAATGCCTAATAAAAGCAACTTAAGGAAGGATTTGACTCATGGTTTGAGAACGGTTACAGTCATCATAGAAGGGAAAGCATGGTGGCAGTTAGCCATGTTGTGTTTGAAGGCAGGAAGCAAAGAATGACAGGTAGTAGGGCCAGTTCATAAATACTCAGGCCCATCCCTAGGGACCTGCATTCTCTAGCAGAACCTTACAGAACCAGCACCACCAGCTGGGAACTGACAGGTAAGCTTGTTGGGGACAGTTCACATTCAAACCACAACACATCACCTTTCATTTGCATTTTGGAATAATCTGGAATTTTTTTATAGGAAATACATTAAACCTGCATTTCTGTTTTGGGAGAACTGACATCTTTTCTGTTTGTGATCTTCCAATTAGTGAACATAGTCTGCATTCCCATTCACTTGCATCTATGCTGTCTTTAACTACCACTTATGTACTTCTCGTACACAAGCTTGTAAATGCTCTTCGACTTATGGCAAAGATTTTAAATTTATTTTTAGTGATTTTAAATAATTTTGTATATTTTCTTCTCTAGTTCTAGGCCTTAGCCTGCATGTTACACCTCCAAATTACAGCCTCTGATATTATATTTTAGATTTTGTTTTTAAATCCACAGGTTTACTGTTAGTATTTAGAAATACAGTTCATTTTTATAATATATTCTGTCAGTTCACCAAAATTGCAATGAGAGATGGCTTTTTTTTCTTGTCTGTACTTTTCTTCCTCTTTGTAGTGTTATTGCAATGGCTGCA